CTCAGCCCTGCCAGCCCAGCCACCGCGGCGCCCCCGGCGCCCGCGCCCACCAGCGCCCCGGGCCTGCAGTTCGCCTGCGCCCGGCAGCCAGAGCTCGCCATGATGCATTGCTCCTACTGGGACCACGACAGCAAGACCGGCGCGCTGCACTCGCGCCTCGATCTCTGAGAGCCCGTCGCAGGCCGGCGCCGTCGGATGCAGGGACGCGCGACAGCAGCTCTGCCCGCCACCGCGGTCAGCCAGAACGTGCGTCCGCCCGGGCCGCCTCCGAGCCAGCGCCCGCGGCCGGTCTGCGCCCCCTTGCTCCCCTCCGCTCCTTTGTCCCCTCCGCTTCTCCCGTGCTCGCTCCCACTCTCTGCGCCCTCTCTGCTCCGACCCGAGGCCGCCTCTCCGCGCGCGTTCGTTCTCCAGGCCTCGCCTGCTCCCGGCGCCCCGGCGTCTCGGCTGGACACCCCACGCCAGAATTCACCGTGGAGAGACAGCGCCCGCGCCCGGGTGCAGCCGGGTCCGCGGCGCGGATCTCCTGGCCTTCTCTCGCAGGTCGGTGCGCTCCCACTCCGCGTTCCCGGCCCGGCTGCGGCGCGGTCTGGGCTAGAGGCACCGGGGTAGGCTGCGACCGGACCCGCGTGGCGCCAGAAAGGGACAGATGTGTCTGTTTGCCCCGAGAACCCTTTTGGAGCTGTTCTGAGGCCTCTTGCCGCAGGACCCACCCGGCCGGAAAGAGGTTGGGACCAAGCGGGGAGACGAGGCAGCCCCCTCTGCGGCCTGCGCTCGGGTCTACGCCACATCCCAGCACCGGGGTTTCCTCCCCTCTCCATCCCGGCTCCTGGGCACCTCCAGAACCCGGCGGCTGGCGAGTGTTTTGCTAAAATGATCGAAGGGGCTTTTTTAGATACAATTTAAAAAAAAATTATTTTAAGGAAACAAAATTCACCGAGAAAACCTGCGAAGCACTGTGGCCTTGAAGTTTGCTAAAGCCACCATAAAAATCAAAAGCTTTAGTGTTCCTCATCTTCTCTTTGGGAAGAATCGCAGTAAAGTTCCCGTTGGGTCTTCAAAAAGCTGTGTTCAGAGAGGTAGGAGAATACGCCCAGTGAAAGATGTCTGCTTCCTCGAATTGGGGGAGTTTACCCCTCTCCCGATCTGGAAAAAAAAAATCAAATTCTAATTTCCCCAGATCTTCCGATGAAAGTCCACGACGCCGGGAGGTCACTGCGTGGCTGGCGCGTCCTGGAGGGCTAGCACGCCCCTCTCCCTCTCCGAGTTTTTGTTTTGCAAACGTCTTGCTTCTCCCACCTTGGGAAGGAGAACTGTGAAGCCAGGCCCCGGTCAGCGGTGGACTGGTGGCCCGGACTGTGGCCCTGAGCCATCAGCACGAAAACCCTAGACCAGATTGTCTTGTAGTTTGTCGTTTGGGGGACCAAATTTTCTAGAGAGAACTAGAGCACTTTTGTTGTACTTTTTTTTTTTTTTTTTTTTTTGCCTTGTCAATTCTCGAATAAATTTTTTGTTCTTTCTTTTAACACGGACTTCTTATTTCTGTCGCACCTACATTAGTGCAGAAGCTAGTTAAAAGAGGGAAAAGATTTTCAGCAAAAATGTCTCTTTTGCAGAGCTAGCGAAACAAGAGTTGAGGACAGCCAGGGCGGTGGGCGTTTGTGGCGGCGCTGCGGCTTTGTTTTCCTAGGGATTGTTTGTTTTCTGTGTCCTCGCCGGTCTGTTGTGGCTGTTTAACCTCGGGGGGAGCTGATCTGCCGTGGGCTGTTTACTGGGCCTGTCTGTAGGTAGCATTAGTTCTATTTTGCACCTATGCAAATCTGGATTTTACCTCTTATATCATTGTACTAGGTGCATATAATCCTCGTTCTTTTGTTTTCCAAATCCACGGGAGCAGCCTGAAGAGTTTATTCAAAGTAGATAAAATCTTGGTTGTGGAAATGCGTGGTAACCTCAAACCTCTGTACAAATGTAATGAACGGATTCCTTTCTTATTTTTAATCATGGAAATTCACTTACCTTGAGATATGGTAAGAGATGTGGGGGTTGAACGTACTGAGTTGCTGGAAAAAAAATCATCTTTCTTTCTCTTCCTTGTCTGAGATCTTCAAATAACGAATTAAGAGCCTTGCGTCCGTCAGCACACACAGGTGTTTGATCTGGGTGCAATCTGACTCTTTTCCGTGGATTAGAAGTGGTCAACCTTCAGTATTCTGATGGGGTGACAAGTACGTGACTTGGGCGCAGCTGGGTCCAGACCCCAGCCCAGGCATGTGTCTCTCACCCGCACCCTCCATTTCTGGATCTGGACAGCGAGTGGCGGCAGGTCCAGTGGGGCTGGGCAGGACCTGGGATGGCTGTGCGTGGTAGAGAATGAGCCTGCAAGACTCACTCAGCAGCTGCGTGGTCCAGCCGTGGGAACACCAGGGTGGGATCCCAGTAACCGGTAGCTGGACCCAAGGGGAAGGGCTTCTGCTCAGGATGGCCGGCTCCCTCCTGCATCCCCAGGAGCTGCAACGTGGACGAGGAAGCTGTGGAAGTTCTCAGAGACATCCTGCTGAGATGGGATTGGAGTCCCCCTCACCCTCCAGCTCAAACAGGCAAGAGCAGGTTGGAGAAGAAGGTTCAGCTGGGGCGGGAGGTCCGAGAGCTGGTCAGACCTGGTGTCTCAGTGGTATGGTACCCTGTGTTCCACAGTCCAGCTGCCTAGGGATGTCGCAGGAAAGAAAGTGGGAGGCTGTGTGCTTGTCTGCTGTGAGCATGGATCCCGTGCACAGTCGGGTAGTCTGTGTTTGCTGCAGGTGTATGCATGTAGTGTCTGTTTTGTGCGGTGACAGGGTGGGTGGCATGTGTCTGTCCTCCACCTGCAGAGAGGTCCTATACTGGGGGCACAGTAAGAACCATACGGCTAGCCTGGAGGGAGTGCTGACTGGGCCACGGTGTGTGTTTCCTTCGCACCTCACTGGGGAAGTGTGCAGTTATGTTCTGGGTGTATATTCCTGGCTCCATGAACAATAGCTGAGAATTTGTACAGAACCTTTGCTTCATCTGTCAGATACCCCCTGTTCTGAGGCTGGCTGTCAGCACCCCCTTACTCTGTCCTGATTAGAGTAAGCAGCGGAGGGACTTCCCGGGCGCAGAGTCCTGGTAGGTAGGAAGCAGCCCACCTGCAGAGAAGTGGGGAAGCTGGCCTGGGCGAGCACTGGAGGGCTGGAAGGCCAGAGGTACCCATGCTGGGAAAAGAACGGCCAGAACAGCAGCCTCACCAAGAAAGTGGATGAAGTGAAGGAGGCAGTAGGCACTTCCCGGATCTACCAGGGTCTGGAGAGAGGAGAAGGGAGCCAACTCATACCTCATTTCCCACGGATGACCCACAGGAAGACATCTGTCTCTAAATCCAGCCCCGGGGGTTCTCCAAGCACTAAAGTGCTAAAGTTTGGTCATCCTCCCACCCCCTAAATATCCTGGGCAGTGACAGACCTGCTACTCTCTGGGTTCCTTTCTCTCTGCACATTTGCATTTACGTTAGAAAAGCTGATTTAAGAATTCCCTAAATGAGGGTGCAAGTTTTTAAAAAATAATTATTTTATTTAACAATATTTGTTTATTTATTTATTTTAACCTGACAAGCGAGGGACAGAGAGAGAGAAGGTGAGAAAGCAAGCTGCCTGGTCCGGGACTTGAACCATGGTTAGGTGTGTGAGAATCCAGCGCCCCTAACCACCATGCCACCTGCCAGCCACAGAGGGTGCAAGTTTTTAAGAGCATTCCTACTCTGTAGCAAGTATGCTTTAGCATATACGGTCTGTCTAGAGGGCCAGTGCCCGTACTCGCGTTTGCCAATGTGTGCTGTAAACAGAGTGTGATACAAATAGCCTGCCGGTTCCTGGGGAATGCGCTGCTATGCGTGGTGCTGAATGAAGAGAGTGTGTGTGTGTGCATGCGTGTGCACGTGTGTGAACGTCCTCATGCTCACCGATGACAGGATGTGCCCCCTTCTCACATTGACACGTAGTTCTTACTGTCTCTTCCACTTCCCTAAAACTGCCCAGGCAGAGTAAGTGAACAGGGAGAAGTCTTTGCCGGTACACTAGCTGTACCAAGGGCCTGCGGGACAAGGACCTAGGGAATCCTTGGGCGGCCTGGTCCCAGCCTGTTTCTCCACATTACTAAAGAGTTTGCTGCCCGCTAACCCTGGTTTGGGTGGGCAAGAACCTGGGGGCCTTTCACCTGAGGTTAGGTGCCTCCAGCTTTTCTCCGCCTCTCCTCAACCCAAGGCTGGGGGTCAAGCTGCAAGGAGCCCCCTGGCGGCAGGTGGAAATTGGGGGCAGACCCAAGCTTTGCACAGTATGACAGTGGGAGCAAACGGCCAGGAAATGGTCTGGCTCAAGACAGTCTGCCCTGGGCTAATTCTTCCTTTAAAGAAGGCCTAGAGCACCAAAACCTTGAAGTCCTGCTCCTGGCCTCCAGGAGGGGGTCCGAGGCCAGCAAGTGGCTTGGTCAAGGCTCAGGGGCTCTGCAGTGCTGGGACTCTTCGGAGCTAATCTGGCGGAGACCTTGGGGCCCCGCTCTGTTGGATGTGCCACTACTGTGGGGGTAGCCTGGCTCAGGGAAGTCTGTGGGGTGCTAAGAGGATGGGACTGGGATCCCACACCTCTCTCCCATGGGACCAGAGTGGGACCAGGGTCATGAAGCTGACCAGAATGACCTTCTTGCTCCAACTCTGCCTTAAAGACAGCCAGAAATGAAGAATTCTTAACAGCAAGCCAGCTTAGCAACTTTCTGTTTTCTGAAGAGAGGGTTCCAGGCAGTCACAAAAAGAGTGACCGGGTTCCAGAAATGCAAAATTACTTTATACTTAAGGAACCTGAGGTTCTGGGAAGGTAAGGAACAGCCAGTCATCCAACTACCTGTGAGTAAAAAGCCCGGCGAGTTTTAAGGAGATGCCTGAGAGCAGCGAGGCCTAGGTGCCCACCTGGGCTCTGTGAGGGCCCAGGCCCTGCCTCCTGGTGCACCGGGAGCTCAGTGTGTCCAGGGAAAGCCTCTGCAAGGAGAAAGAAGGGCCTGAGTCTGAACGTGGGGCACGCCGTGCTGTGCAAAAACTGCCACCATGCCAGCTGTGTGTGGCACAGGCTCTGGCTTGGTGATGAACTGTGACAAGAGTGCTTTGGGGTCATGTCACTCCTAGGACTTGGTCTGGGCAGGATGGGACAGAGGCAGGAACTGTTCAGACCAGAAGAACTGGTATGGAGCCCAGTGGGCCCCTTTAAAACTGTCGCTTTTAGCAAAGTACCTACTGGGGATTTCAGTTTTCTTATCGATAGAATAGAGAATATCAGAATTATTAAAATCATTGTTCTGGGGTCGGCAGGTAGCGTGGTGGTTAAGGTGCTGGACTCCCACATGGCTAACCACCTTCAAGTCCTGGACCTGGCAGCTTCCTCTCTTTCTCGCTCTCTCTTTCTCTTTCTTTGGTGAATGCTTGTACCCTGTGGCAACTTGAAAATGATAATAATAGAGGGCTGGCAGGTGGCATGGTGGTTAAGGGTGCTGGACTCCCCACGTGGTCTACCACAGATCGAGTCCCAGGCTTGGTGGCTTGCTTTCTCTCTTTCTCTCTCTCCCTCTCTCTCTCTCTCTCTCTCTCTCTCTCTCTCTCTCTCTCTCTCTCTCTCTCTCTCTCTCTCTCTCTCTCTCTCTCTCTCACACACACACACACACACACTGTCCCTCTCTGGTCAAATTGAAATAAATGAATTAGTTAATTAATTAAGTTAAATAAAAGAATTTTTTTCAAAAAAATAATAATTGGGGCCGGTAGGTAGTGTGGTGGTTAAGGGCGCTGGATTCCCACATGGCGGACCATGGTTCAAGTCCCAAACCTGGAGGCTTGCTTTCTCCCTTTCTCTCTCCCTCTCTCTCTCTCTCTCTCTCTCTCTCTCTCTCTCTGTGTGTGTGTGTGTGTGTGTGTGTCCCTCTCTGGTCAAATTAAAATAAATAAATAAGCAAATAAAGTTCAATAAAATAATTATTTAAAATAATAAATAAATAACATTAAATAATTATCTTTAACAATTTTTAAAATAAAATAATTGTTCTAATATCAAAGTATTGCTTTATAGTAGATGGTCAGTGACAGTTTCCCTTGCCCTATAGGAAGAAAGGAAGGAAAGACGGAAGGAAGTGAAGGACTTAATCAGACTCTGTAGTGGACACCCTAACTCATGGCCATGGCCGTCCCCAGAGCCCAGACCACGGGCTCTGTTCGGGGTCCATGCGAGGGCGGGCGATCGCATTCACCCTGCGTAGGTCCTTGCCCAAGTGCGAGGCGCACCCTGCTGCCGCTGCCCCAGAGCTCACAGACGTTGAGTTCATGAGTTCCAGGCTCGGCTGGGCCTCTTCCAACCGCCCTCTCGCTTCTCTGAGGGCGACCTTCAAGGGTCTAGAGGTTTTCTCTAAGAAGAC